CAGAACAGTAATGATTCTGATGTATATAACTACTACTGGGCATACTACACAACAGTAATGATTCTGATGTCTATAATTACTACAGGGTATACTACAGAACAGTAATGATTCTGATGTCTATAACTACTACTGGGCATACTACACAACAGTAATGATTCTGATGTATATAACTACTACTGGGCATACTACACAACAGTGATGATTCTGATGTCTATAACTGCTACTGGGCATACTACAGAACAGTGATGATTCTGATGTCTATAACTGATGTCTATAACTACTCCTGGGCATACTATACAACAGTAATGATTCTGATGTCTATAATTACTACTGGGCATACTACACAACAGTGATGATTCTGATGTCTATAACTGCTACTGGGCATACTACAGAACAGTGATGATTCTGATGTCTATAACTGATGTCTATAACTACTACTGGGCATACTACAGACCAGTAATGATTCTGATGTCTATAACTACTACTGGGCATACTACACAACAGTAATGATTCTGAGGTATATAACTACTACTGGGCATACTACACAACAGTAATGATTCTGAGGTATATAACTACTACTGGGCATACTACACAACAGTAATGATTCTGAGGTATATAACTACTACTGGGCATACTACACAACAGTAATGATTCTGAGGTATATAACTACTACTGGGCATACTACACAACAGCAATGATTCTGATGTCTATAATTACTACAGGGTATACTACAGAACAGTAATGATTCCGATGTCTATAACTACTACTGGGCATACTAAAGAACAGTAATGATTCTGATGTATATAACTACTACTGGGCATACTACAGAACAGTAGTGATTCTGATGTCTATAACTACTACTGGGCATACTACACAACAGTAATGATTCTCATTCGAGAAAGTAAAGTCAATAGTACAATTTTATAATTCGTTTGACTGATTTATATACATGTATTTATGTGCATATGATTATATGTTCAAATAAACAATCAAAAGTGTGTTTCGTTCTCTCTTTTGTTGGTCAAAACAACCATCACAAACAACAGTTTATAATAGTATAACGGTACTAAATCACATGATGACCGTACTAGTACTAATGATACTCGAATGTCTTAAACAGTATACTATCATTGATGATAACGGACGTCTTAAATAGAGCACTATTTCAAACCTTCTTTTCTTTTCATTTTCCTTACAGGTACTATTACCCAGTCCTGTGTTGGAAATCATAAACACGAAGATTTTACATCGACTTAAACATTGTAATGCCATATGTTATTTGCCACTATGGCAAATGTTAGTGTATTTGAATTACATAACTTTATGCAAAAAGCTAAAAGTTTGTACTTCTTACATAATTATAAGAGCTGTCAATGAGGGATAAATTATCATTAGGGACAGGGGTATTTTAACAAGGGGCCAATGAAAAATACATATAAAATTTGAGAAAGATCCCTCAAGTACTTTCTGAAAAATACAGATATCAATACTTAACTGTCAACATGCAAAATGCCTTCTGTTTGTCATTTTGTTCTTCTGATCAGTCTCAAAAGTAAATATGAACAACAAGCAACCAAGAGGAACCTACATATCAAATTTGAGAAAGATCCCTGGAAGACTAAATATTAAATCTCAAAATCCAAGATGGCCTTCTGTTGGCCATCTTGTTTTTCTAATCAGTCCCAAAGTAAACAATCACATCTGTTGACCAAAGGAAACCTGCAAATCACATTTTAGACAGATCATTCCAGTGCTTTCTTCCATTTGTCGGCCTACTCAGTTTTCCGATCAAACCCAAAATATGATATGATTAACTAGGGACCATGGGAACCTTTATGTTAAATTTGTAAAAAGATCCCTCTAGTTCTTTCTGAGAAATAGCGCTAACAAAAATTGTCTATTAAGGAAGGATGGACAGACCACTGATGAAGGGCGATTTGACCAACCCATCAACTGATGATTGTGGGCCAAAAATCAGAAATTCATAAACTCGTTATGTTACTACATGTATTGTATTCCATATAAAATCACATACTTTGACATTATCACATTTATATCACAAATTTTCATATCTGAAAGTATATGCTATGACAGATAAATAATGATAAAGTTATTAACATCATGATCTGATTGGTGAACCATTCGTACCTTAGAAGATTCACAAAGGGAACCAGCAAGTTTAGAACTTCAGAGTAGTACTATACAATGTACTTTAATGAAAGATATTAAACTGAATAAATGACAAGATAAATTAAAAGGATAAGTCAGAAATAAAGTTACCTGTTTATAATATATTAAAAGAATGATTCTCACCTCACTTACTGTAAACTTTTACAAATGAATCCTAGATACCAGTTCCTCAGTGGTATATATAATATTTAGACAGTTAATACAAAAGACAGTCTTCCCAGTCAAATATGACCTCACATTAAAATGTTATACATTTCAATTTCAATAAAAGTCAGCCACAGCTACCGTCCTTCCAACCATCTCGCCATCGTTCATTAACTTTGGAACAGTCAAATTCTGGTTTTCCAATTTTAACGTTAACATTGTTGTGTAACCTACACAGCCATTGGGAAAGTGAATGCTGGCTTTTTGTGTCTGGCTGGTTAGTCTTCAACCTGCAAAATACCATTGAAACTCTTCAATATACATGTGTTAGGTTGAACTGACAACACTTAGCTGCATATGACAGTGATAAAGCCTGCAAGGTTTCAGGGAAAACTATAAAAATCTATTGCTCCAATTTGATATTCATATTGATCAAATGTCCATTTTCTGACAGAGATATGTGCTATGTATTATATATTAAAATCACCAATCTGCTTATTGTTAAAGAAAAGTAGTTGGTTCCTTGTCATTGACTGCTACTGTTATATAATGGTCAAATAGGTTTCTTATTGACACCCGTCAAAGATATTTTCAATGCTTTACACTATACACATGGGAGGCAACTCTAAACATCAATGGTACAGCTACATTTGCCATGTAAACAATATATAAATTGTGGAAACAGCCCCGATCAATGGTGTTTAAAACATGTGAGCTTTATTGTGCTAAAAGGTGCAATTTCTACTCTTTTAATTTGTTATCAGATTTCTACCAGGGTTGACTTAAAATGTTACTATATAAGTACATATCACCACAGGTACAAAAATCCATAAAAGTGTCAGCCAACCCATAACAAGATATTCCAGAGCGATCATGCCACATACCTTCATAATTATCATAAAGTTTGATCTCTTTTCTCTAACCTACTGCACTTATATACAGTTAAGCATCTTGTTATAACATTTAATTCAACTTCAAATAGCTGTGTTTGATATTGTTCTTTGGAAGTGACGTTGTCACATAACCTAATGACTAGAACTGTAATGTGTAATAACAGTACACAAGAGAATTCTGATTGTGGCAGCCATGTTTTTCTTCTGATTAAGAAGCTTGAAACTCAAAACAAAATACACAAAAGAACAGATAAGGAAGAACCAACTTATGAAACTTGAGATGGATCTGTATTTTACCTTCTCAGAAAAAGTGATAATAAACATTTCAGAGCTCAAATTCAAGATATCTGCCAAATGGCCATCATCTTTTCCCAGTCAATCTGAAAATGGAACATGCACAACTAATACATGTACCTTAAGGAGCCAATATAAAGGAAATTAACTATAAGTCTCACTAGTTCTTTTTGAGAAGTAGCAATAACTAACTTTAACTATCAAATTCAAAGATCCTCCTGAGGTAACCTCCTTAACTGTCAAAATCCACCTGACATCCATCTTGTTTTTCTGGTCAGTTTCAAAATTGAACATGCACCAGTAAGGGCCATGAGGAAACAACATATGAGATTTGAGAAAGATCCATCTTGTTCTTCTTCTCAAATAGTGATAACAAGACTATTTAAGGAGAATGACAGATGGATGATGGAGGGACAACAGACAGACAATGGAGGAGAGATAAAATAATGTACCATGGAGGAAAGAGGATTTGAACAACCTACCATCTGTTAAACGGGGCTTTTTTGTAATTTTCTTTTTAGTCAAGATTTTTTTGCAATATATGGTATATTTACATTCAAACAATTCATATTATATATTCAGACCTCACAAGACTCATATATACTCTTACTTACATCAGTTGATATATTAGACACAAGTACATGTAATGGTACCCATGTACACATATATCGCCTTTATGAGAACAGAGAGAGAGAGAGAAAAGAAAAGAAGAAGAAGGAAAAAAAATAGCAATGAAAAACGGAGAAAGTCAACAGAAAGAGGAAGAAAAAGGAGAAACTNCTGAGAAATGAGGGTAATACTCAGGACAAAATATATTTATATCATAAAAGAGATTAACTTTAATAAGTTCAGACAGAAACATCAACTTAAATTCACAAAAAAGGGACAAAAAAATATATTTGGAGTTCAGGCAAGATTCAATACAGGTATGGTAAAAGGGACATAACTGCCAAAAAAAGTCCTTGTGAAAACTTAGTGTGTGCTGGCTACATGTATGTGCATCAGTGTATTTTCAAAATATAAAATGAGAACTAAACTGTGGGAGGAGATGTATTGCTGACTTGATGATATTAAATTATTTAATTTTGGCTTATAATTCCAGGAGGTGGTTCCATTTTTTCCATTCTCTTTCCAGTTTTCTTACAAAATTATCCCCCTTGCAACATGCTATATATTTTTGAACAGAATGATGGTCTTTTATGCTGTTAATTAAACCATTTACTGACAAAGTGTTTTGAAGGCATCTTGTTTTATAAATATAGTGTTTGATCATAATTAAAATTTCATTATCTAGTCTGTTGCCTATACCTGACTGTGACACTATTCCAAAAAGGAAGGATTCCTTATTAAAAGAAAATGGGATAATTAAAGCTTCTAGTAATGTTTCAAACTGTATAGGAAATTTTGTACAATGGCACACCCCCATAATGTATGAATTATTGTTTCCCTATCTAGATTACAAAAAAACACATAAAAGGATTATTAGAGAGGCCAGCTTTGCATAGATATATATTTGTTGTCAAAATATGATGGAGAATTCTTACTTGGAGCCACTGGAGTTTTGTATTAGTAGTTGTGCGAAATGGAATTTGATATATTTTCCCCCATTTGTTGTCCCTAATAAAAAATATTTTAAAATAAGAAAATAAATGACATTCACACAACTACCGAAGTTACCTATTATTTGTACGTTGTGCTATATTTGTTCTCTACAATGTTATAGGAAGGTTTCAAGCAGCATAACCAGTATGTTTTATGTGAGACATTTAAACCACTAGTACACATGTACCCTATCACCATCATCAGACAAATGACCAGTTCCTTTGGTACATGTATAACAAGTAGGTGCACACTTATAGTAGCACAACTGTTAAGAATGGTGATAAAATCTGTGAAGTTTTCACAAAAATTTGATAAAGACAATACAGGAAATGTGTGGACAAGATTGGCTTCAAGTTCTACAAAAGGGGCAAAACAGAAAGAAGAGATGTAAAGATAAACACAGGTGCATAACTACAGAATGTGGCAATTACTCTGGTATATCTGTGAATTTTCATAACATTCAGATGAATACTGTAGCAGGAATTATCCACTCACATGTATATCTCATAAACCTCCTCCCAGGCACATTTTAATGGCTATCATATTTCCTTATAACACCCCTTTTGATGGTGAGAAAGAAAAAATTACCAATAACATGACACTTGATCAAAAACATATTCTCCTTGAGATAGTGGTGACTACATCAATAGGTGACTTGAAATGATTCTATCAACAGTAACCTGATCCAGAATACCCCTGTCTCTTTGTTGCAGGCAAGGGTTCAGGTGGGTGGGAAATAACTAAAATATAGTATTATCTTGTGCTATAAGCTGATGGAATTGTTGCTTGTGTTCATTTAGGTTTTATATATATATATATATATATATAGAATAAAAACAAATTTTTCAGATCGTCCTCTAGGCCTTTCTGCCTTCTAGGGCTTCTTCAGGCGGATTCATATATAGAAGAAATAAGATTAACGACCGACTAAAAAACTAGCTGCTTTCACCCTTCACAGGGCTCTTCAGGTTTATTTCTAGAAGAGATGAAAGTACTTAAGACTCGTTATTGAGAATTTTTCTTTTTATAATATTTCTTCGTCCGTAAGGATTATTTTTCTGATTTATATTATATATATATATGCACATAAAATAGAATGAAACCCACTTGGAGTATTATCTTTGAGACATTCTTGCAAATTGTGTACAACCAACTTAACTCATCATTTCAAATTTGCTAAATTTAATAAAGTCTATCCTGAAAAAACTGACAAAACCTGTTTATGCATAACTTGTACATGTAGAACATAAGGCATTAATTGTTAAAACTTACTCTACTCTAAGATCCTCAGCACAGTAATCACACGGGTAGAATTTGGAGAATAAGTTGATAAACTGCTTCATTTCTGACTGATGTGTTGAGCTTGGTTTATCTGGAAAGTATGCTGCCATTGTATGGAGAAATGACCAGGTATTCCGGCCAAGGTCATTTTTATCCAGTGGACACTGAAGGTCATTTTTAAGTTTTGCTTTCATCGTTTTTGGAAGCTGCCAATGATAGAATACATGTACATCAGGCTTATAACTATGACATAATTATCAAGACAGACAAAATTCATACTTGTATAGACATTTTTACATAATTGACATGTAGGACAGTTAAGTTCACCTATCTTAATTAGCAAATTTTGACTTTTTTCACAAAAACTTTTCATTACAATTGTGTACATGAAACATTTTTCATCAATATAGTAAGACAGTAAAAAAGAAAACTGAAAACAAATAGAATATTTTTTACTTGGTTTTCTTAGGTTTCCATAAACAGAATTGTACATGAGTCTGTGCATGTGATAATTAGGCTGCAATAACAGAAATAGTTGTGATTTTTCCATGTGCAAGTTTCTCTGATAAAGAATAAAAGAAACTTTCATCAAAATAGCTTTAAAACCTACTGATTGAAAGTAAGAACATGTGAAATTAACTATATAGCTTAAACAAGTGGTTCTGCATATAATCAAATTATCATATGCTTGAATATCAGTTTAATCTGTTTTGCAATTTGTATTGCAATACATGTAGGTATTTCTATTAACACACTGCATGACAACAAAATGAATTCAGCGTTCTGCTTTCTAAACAATTTGAAACTTAACCCTTGACTTTCTTATTCTGTTTTTCTGTTCATATATTTAAGATTCGTTTGTATGTTATGGATGAATGCAATTCACATGTAAACCATCCTCAATATCCAGGGGTTACGCTCACTTTTGCTCTCTGCACCCCTGGAATTTGTCATAGAAAAAAAAGGCACAAAAATAGCTGTTTGATTGGTCTTGGGTAAAAAAAAACCTGACCAATCCCTTGGCTAATACCTGTCCTTTGAAGTTTACAAAGGCGAGACCCGACTTCAAAGCCTGTCAATTTTTACCCTTAGGTAACTGCGAGATTCTTTTGGTTTCAACAAATTTTATTGTATTTACAAAAGGATGAGACAACAGGCAGTGCCTATATTAGTCTTCTCCTGAAACGGTACAACATATATACATTTACACAGAATAATAAGATATATTTACAAAATTATCGATAACTAATTACTTATTGAAATAGATGGACATTCTTTTGATGTACATCAAAGGATTGAACTAGTCTTCTTGTCTCATCAACAAGGTGGTGCACACAGAGCCTTCAATTTTACTATGCCATATTCCAGGGGTGCAGAGAGCGAAAGTAGGCATAACCCCTGGATATCGAGGATGCGTGTACACTTTCCTAAACATGTGTATAAAAAATTGACTGGGTTGGACCATTTTTCCTGTTGTGATATTTTCAAAGCTCTTGATGCATTCTTTTTTTCAACACCTTAAAAAGCAGAAGTTGTCAAAAGTTGCTACTTAACAGTCTCAGAAAGATTAGGGAGTTCCCAGTCTGTATTAGCTTTTTTCACATCATGAGTATTACGCAATTCTTGGAAATATATCATCATCTACTACAAAAATATATTCATCACACATGTAATTAACAAAGGTGTTTGTCAGCATATAGAATATACTCAAAAGTTTCACTGAACTATCTTCACTTGTTTCCAGTGGATCTCATTTTTGAGGACAAAAAAAATAAAGGTCACGAATAGCCTCCCTTACCTTACCAATGTATGATCGGTCGTCCAAAGCCTGATAATCTTTCCACGTTAACACAAATTTTCAAAATGTTATGTTTGATAAAAAAATATATCCCTTTTTCGCATTTTTCACATTTTTATTGTAGTATGTTAAGTTTATAAGACATTGTATTTAAATCTCTATTCATATACTTGGAGTATGAATCTACTTTTGTCAAATATATTTTTATAAAATATTTGAGTTATGTTCAACTAAGCTGACCAGGCTTTCAACAATAGTCCCTGGCTAGCAACGTTTCGTTAATAAAGAAACCAACTAAATTATAAACAGCATGGTTACCAAAAAATACACACAAAATCTACTTACTTTCCTTTCTGTCATATATTGATCAATGTATGAATCGAAGTCAGTACACGCTCTGCATGGTTTAGGTTTACCATGCCCCGACATGAAGTCGTCCATGGAAGCAGCCATCTTTAATCTGTAACAGTTTATGGTAGTCGTTATATAACCGCGATGGTTATTAAGCAGCAAATTATGGTTCAATTATTCAAGTAGCAGATTTCCACATAATTTGTATCAATAGTATTGACATCTTAATGCTATATTTGACCTACGTGCTAAGTGAAATCTTTTTACAGGTTGTCGTTAACGCCAAAATTGCCTCAAAATGGCGACCAAACGTATTGTCTATGATGAATTTCGAGTGCTTCTTGGACGATTTGGTCGTTTGAAGAAAACAGGTAATTCAGAATTCCTTCTCTAAGCTTGCAAATAAGCAATCATTTCGGTTATGTTTTTAGATCTTACTAAAATAATGCTTCATATTGTTTTTTGTGTGTACGTTATGATTGTAAATGACTTCATTGACCTTCGTCAGCCTAAAGTAACATTTTGGGTATTAATACTAGCGGACCTGCAAATGTTTATGCAGGCTTTTTCAATGCTTTGTCAAGACTCGTCTGAAAGCAGCATCAGATTACTAGGTCCGACCTTATTTCATAAAATCTGGTCCAACCGGTCAACCGTTTGGACAGCGATTATACGAAAACGGCCCTGTGCTGCAGTAGCCTGAAGATGTTGTTTGATTAGTACCCGGCCTCCACTATATAAAAACTGTCTCGTCTACAGAAAGCTACGTTACCGCAGCTATTGTATGATATTCGACAGAATAGTGTCGTAACTAATTATCAGATTATATTACGGTATAGTGAATTAATGATACAAGCCAAAATATCCACTAACTAAGAATATCTACGTTTTATTTCTGACCACGTACATGTGTCAACAAGGCATACAATGTACTCAAAACTCTAGAAGCAAACCTCAGACACAGTACAAGCTTTCATCTACACTGTACAACAATGAACATTTAGTCACTAAAATCACTTCTTATAATCTGAAACATTTTATAGCATGGTAAACATAATCTCATTATCATGAAACTGCTCTGGGAACTATCATACACAATACTCTGTTAGGAGTTCCGTATACATTCTCATAGTTCTGCATGAATGAAGATGATAACATTTGTATGGAATTTAATTAGTAAGATTGTTGAGCATTTTGTTTCTGATTTGACTGCTTCCTTTCTGATCAGGTGAATTTCTTTAGCAGAATTGATATTGATTCGTGGACAATTCGTATGTATTTTACACCTTTGTATACACACTCTTCACTGTTCATTTGTTTGATGAAGGTGACAGAGTACATACCGTACTAGTTATCAAAATGTCACATATAAACACTATTGGTTGTGCTACATGAATCTTTTCACAATCCATATTTACCAACCTGAAGAAAATGTTTAGAATGCAAACGTTTGCTCTTACAGCTTTGACTAGATATAGTCTGAAGTTATATACATGTAGCATTTGTTTAATGCTATCAATGGTTACACAATCAGTTGTAATTAATAACCACATGCCTTACATTAGTATCACCATGGAATTAGATTAGATGTTATCTAAGTCCGTGGTATCACCAATACAGTGACTTGATAAATAGAAGCTATATATATCATGAAATTACTCTTTTTTCCAGAATTTTCTCACAAGATGTATTTTGATTTCTTTGAATGGCCTCTCACTACATTTCTGTTTTTTGGAGTAGGTAAGTATATACTTAGGTTACTGATCAGATTCCATATATTATGTATTCTAGTTTTCATCTAATAATCATCTGTACATGTTGATATAAATAATAAATATATAGCTAGTCATGTTTGTTAATCCTGCAACTTTCACCTGCAGACTCCAACTTTTTGCCTTTACCTAATGTATCTGTGTCAAAATAATTCTGTGACTTTAAGCATATATATATATATTATGTATGAACTAGTTTTCTATTTGTAAGTAAAGTTTTTCCTTTGAGGTTATTTTTGTCTCAACACCACGAAGTGGAAACGAGACTTAGGTGTTGCTATTCGGCGATGGCGTCAACATTGGTTAAGTGATTGCGTTTAAGTCAGTTTCTCTGAAAGTATAAGTGCTAGACCAACCAAACCTGGACCGTGTATGCATCTTAGGTAGTACATCTCAACCCATGCATCAAATGCTGGATGTGGCCTACTGTTCATGGTCCATTGACTTTGTCAGCATCTCCATCAACATTAAGTTTTTGCATTGAAGTTAGTTTCTCTGAAAGTATAAGTGCTAGACCAACCAATCTTGGACCATATATGCATCTTAGGTAGTACATCTCAACCCATGCATCAAATGCTGGATGCAGCCTACTTTTCATGTTCCATTGACTTTGTCGACATCTTAGTTAGCTTTTCTGATATGTGCATTAATGATCAAAGCGGAGCATGGGTGAGACATATTAATCTGAATAGCTTGTTTGTAAATATATAGCCTTGATGACATTGCAAGATAGAAAACCAAGCAAAAATCCACTTAGTAGCCTTACAAAAAAAATATGTTTCATTTTACAGACATTGTTAATGTACATTGTAGCTCTTCAGTTGATGTGCCTGATCCAAATATCATTAAAATAATAACCAATTAATTACCTTTCTTTTCATCCACAGCACCTGTACTATGGGCAGGGAATCAATACTTACGTCCCAAGGGAGACGATTACCATCGCTACTTTCAGAAGTACACAAGTAAGGATTTCATCTCTCATTTAATATGAATTCAGTTTTGGACCTTATCTTTAAGAATTTGAAGCATATAGTCGACCCCTATGATGTATGCATTTTACGTACCTTCCATATCTTGCGCATTCAGTAAACATGAACATGATTGGTGTGGGTAAAATTCATATTTTTACCATGTTTTACCAGTAGATCATTAGTACATGTTAAATATGCATACCATCTCTGGTCCTATTGACAGATGAAAATACTTGAAGCTGGACTCTATTCATGTGTCTCTAAGTTTTTGTGTACACAATTAATAAAGCAGTTATATAAAAAAAAAAAACAAGCTGTGACTACATGAAAGATCTGAGGGTCATTGGCAGCATAGTTTACACCAACATTGTCCAAGGAACCAGTAGGCGTGTGGTATTCAGTTGAAAGACCAAAGCCCCGGGCCAGCCCTTTGACATATGTTTTCAGTATACGCATTTGGGTGTCCTTATCATTTGATGCTCTCTGGTTTACTTAAAAATTCATTTGCTTGGAATTTCTCATTAATGAATAAGTTATCAGCATGTTTATATCCTTAGTAATTATTTTTCATTTTATGATAATGCTTGACAATTTTGAAAATACACTGACAAACCAATATAAAAGAGGTCATCACATATACACTGCATATCTGTTAGATATCGACATAACATAATTATGGAAGGTGTACAGATGATATTTTACATGTACAATCAATCTTAGTTCAGTACTAGCTAGTTCAGGGTGAATTGACCTTACACATAATATTCCGTGTTTACTATAATTGTCCTGTTATTTAACTCCATAGTAAATTTGCCATGGTTTGACATTGATGAGCATATTATGTAGCATTTTGGACTCCAAAAATGTTTTTATTTTATTTTTCTGTTAAAAAAGTGAAACTGTGCTGTTCATATGTTTCATACAACACATTTATGTACTGGTTATTTTTATTGAGAGTTTACAGCAGCTATGTCATCTATTTTGCTAATGTTATGTTTCTATTTCAACTTTCAGTTAGCAGAGCAAAGGAGCCAGGCTAGTAGTTACTGAAGGACAGTACTTGGTGCTGAATGGAGCACTGGACTTCGGCTGTGTGCTAGTTTTCTGTAAATAAAGTGAATGAATGTTTAGTGATGCCTGTTCACTTGTGTTTTTTTCTCACCTGCTTGAAGGGCAAGTAATGATCAGCTTATAACGTAGGTTTTGGTCTCCCCAATGTTTTGACCTCAGAGACCTGAAGGGTCATTAACATAGGTTTTGGTCTCCCCAATGTTTTGACCTCAGAGACCTGAAGGGTCATTAACATAGGTTTAGGTCTCCCCAATGTTTTGACCTCAGAGACCTGAAGGTTCATTATCATAGGTTTAGGTCTCCCCGATGTTTTGACCTCAGAGACCTGAAGGGTCATTAACATAGGTTTTGGTCTCCCCGATGTTTTGACCTCAGAGACCTGAAGGGTCATTAGAGCTTTGTGTTGAGATGCTTGTCGTACGTTCATGAACTTGTCCATTAAAAAGCTGCTACCCGAACAGTGGAATTTGAAAATGCAAAGGGACTTGTATAGAAGGAAGGTGTGGTGCTCACATGGGCAAATGAAGAGATTTGAACAAAATTTGAACTGGGCCAAGAGGTCTTCAAGGAACTTAACCATAATTGATCTTGATGATCCTTTGTTAACATTTGTTCACTGGCAAGAATTCCCAGCAGACTAGGCATTCCTATGGAAACAAACTGTTTTGTGGGTGACTATTGATGAGCCTAGCAAGACTGGTTATAAAAACCCAGTTAATTCCTTCAATTTCATATTGGATATATAATGCAGTACATTTTGTACTAGCTGTCTAAACTCTATTAATAACAAGAAATGTACCGACTATATCAGTCATATATACCCCCCAGAGCTTGAAATCAAGGACGCCACAGACGCTACAAATTCAGGTTGTTTCCACGATATTTACTTGCAACATGACAAACAGGGACCACTTACTATAAAGCAGGACGATTTCAATTTTACAACCGCTCACTTTCCCTTTTTTGGTAGTAACAAATCTGCATTCCTAACTTTCTGTGTTTACATGTCGCATATTATTTGGTATTTAAAAGAGCTTGTTCCGAATATCATGACTCAAGTAATAGATGTCGACTGCTGACAAACTTACAACACATGTTTCCCAAAGATGCAGATTGTGATACAGTCTGGACGAGTTTTATGGTCACCGCTAGAACTATCTCATATGGAATATGCTATTTCCTCGTGTGATATGAAGGTTGGTGTTTTTAGGTCACCTGAGCTTTGCTCAAGTGACCTATTCTAATCGCTTTTCGG